TATATATATATATATATATATATATATATATATATATATCCTTCTAAGAGTTAAAGGAAACCATGAACAGAAGCAAGAAGACAGACAACACCCTTGAAGAATTCAGGAAATTTAAAGAGCAAAATGACAAAATAAATACACAATTAGAAATCATACAAAAACATTAATTAGAAATCCAGAAAATGAACACTAAAATTACAGAGATACATGACACATTCAAAGGACAAAACAGTAGACTCAAACTGGCTGAAGAACGTATTTACCAACTAGGGAAAAATCCTTTTGACACCAGCTTGTGTGAGGAATAATCATAACAAAGAATTAAGAAAAACAAAGAAAACCAAAAAGCTATATGGGATGACATGAAAAGAAATAACATATGCCTGATTGGAATTCCGGAACAAGTGGAGGTAAAAAATAAATACAAAATAATACACTGAGAAAACTGTTGAAGACTTGCTAACAGAAAACTTCCCTTATATCATGAAAGATGAAAAGAAATCTATCCAAGAAGCTCAACAAACCCCATACAGGATAGACCCCAAGAGAAAGTCACCAAGACATATCATAATCAAACTTTCAAAACCTAAGACAAAGAAAGAATCTTGAGAGCAGCTTGGGAAAAACTAAATGTTACCTATAATGGGCAGTCAATAAGACTAAGCTCTAATTTCTCAGTAGAAACCATGCAGGCAAGAAGGTAATGGGATGGCAATATATAAAACCTTGGAAAAGAATCGCCAACTAAGAATTATATATCCAGCCAAACTGTCCCTCAAATATGAGGATGAAATTAAGATATTCCCAAACAGAAATTAAGGCAATTTATGAAAACCAGACCAACACTACAAGAAATGCTAAAGAGAGTCCTTCCAACAGAAAACCCACAACAGAAAACAACAAATTAAAATCAAGATACTTAACACCACCACCCAGAAACCAACCCAGAAAAAGAACCTCACAAAAAATGTAAATAGAAAAATGTTGTTGTTGTTGTTGTGTACCATTGAGTCGGTGACCCTCCTTGGGTTTCCAAGGCAGTATCACTACGGAAGTAGATGGCCCAACCTTCCTTCCGAGGAGTGGTTGGTGGGTTTGAACCTCCAGCCTTCTGGTTAGCAGTCAAGTGCCTTAGGCACTACACTACCAGGGCTCCCAAACAGAAAAATAGAGGAGTCAATTCTGTAAATAGCACCAACAACAAAGCAAGTAAAACAAAAACAAACTCACCCCATCGAGTTGATTCCAACTCAGAGAGACCCCCATTGGGTTTTCCTAGGTGGTAAATCTTTATGGAAGCAGAATGCCTCATCTTCCTTCTGTGGAGCAGCTGTTAAGTTTGAACTGCCAACCTTCTGGTTAGCTGTCAAATATCTTAGGCACTACACCATCAGAGCTCCCAACAAACCAAATAGAGGGAACAAATGTTATAATTATAAAACTTCCAAATGGAGAGGAAGTCAGGACAATGTCCATATAGAACAGACTGTTCCAAATATAGGGAGATAAGAATTTACTATAGGGTAACCACAAAGAAAATTAACAATCCTCCTAACCAAACTAAGAAAAAAGAAAATCACAAGGGCTTAGTAAACACAAAACCAACAATAATGAAGAGAAAAAATACTTGATAAGAAAATTAATTTGGCACAGAAAAATATTTTAGACAAAGAAACCAACAACACAACAATAAATACAACAGAATGACAGCAATAAATTCTTACCTATCATTAATCACACCAAATGTGAATGGACTAAGTGCACCAGTCAAGAGAAAGAGAATGGCAGACTAGATAAGAAAAGAAGACCATCTATATGCTGCCTACAAGAGATCCACCTTAGACATAAAGATAAAAAGAAATTAAAAATCAAGGG